TTATGATTGCATCCCCTGCTGACATCTGATGGCAGTCTCGTAAGATCAGCTGCATCCATATTCATATTCTTAATTCATTGAAATACCAGGGCTTCCAATTTTATCCTCATGGCAGTTGGCCAGGAGCCTTGGTTCCTTACCATATGAGACTTTCCATGGAACAACTGGCTTCACCCAGAGCAAATGGTCAGAAAAAGGGCAACCAAGATGGAAGCCACAGTGTCTTTTATAACCTAATTTGGTGTGGCATGCCATCACTTCTGTCAGGCAGAATTCATTGGGGACCCTCTTGGAGCACAGCCATCACATTGCTCAAAGTCTTGTAGCTAGTAATTGATGTGGGGTGGATTTGAACCAATATTCTCTGACATCACAACCTGTGTTCATAACCACTACAGGGCAGATAAAGAAGGAAAAGGGAGATGGATTTTATATGCATTCTACTGTAAAACTCCACAAGAACTGAATTCAGTTGACAACCATAGCTGGTTGGGCCAAGGTTATTAAAGGGGAAGGTGAGATATAGCAGGCAACTCCAATTTCAGAAACTAGAAGGTGGAGGACAGCTTTCAGACATACTGAGTTTTCTCCTCAGCTACCACTAAAGGGTCAACTAGAATCCTTACTGCCATCACAAAGTCCCTGTCAGGAATTCCCAACCAGGAATTGTTTCCAGGTGGTACCAAGCCACAGTCAGGGCTGGGCAGATGTGGATAGTACAACCATACTTAAAACCGAAGGCTGGCTCCATTACCCTAAAATCATATGACTCTATTTCATTATTTTAATGAAAAAATCCTCATCCTCATTCTGTTGAATCAGAAAGGGATTTCCACATATTTAGAAAGCACCAGATACTAAACTCAAGTCAGGAGAAGAAAGGGAGAGAGAAGAAATAATGAACCACAGCCCACGGTGACAATCTTAGAGCAGAGGGAGCAAGGTTGGTGGCATGATGGTAGTGGGGGCATCAGCAGAGAAAAAGAAAAGAAGCTTGGATCTGGACAGAGGAGGGTTGAAGTGCCTGGGGGTAGCCAGGTGGGAATGACTTGAAAGTCATTGGATGTGTTGGCTCTGAAGCCCAGAGAGAAAGACTGGGCTAAAAATACAGATCAGGAAGTTGTCAACTTCAGAGTGAGTTGGAATTTGAAAGTGTGTGTAAAATTGGAATGGCTGTTGATTGAAATTGGAGATCGATGCCCTAGTGTCTCCAGAAAGCTGCTTCCTGCTTTCTCTGTGCTCTCCCCTGGCTCTACCATGCCTCTCCAACTTTCTCTGTGACCAACACCTGCTTGTCCTGTGAGCCGTGACTCTAGCCCCTGCTCTTCTTTAAGATCCTCTCGGGCCCAACACAGTTTCCCTTCCTCTGTCCTGTGCCAATTTGTACTTAGTTCTACTAGAGAACTTCTATTGCACCTTAAGTGTTTTTGTCTTCTTGAAGGTGTGGATTACATCTTAGCAACTTTGTATTCACTGTCCTGCTCCTTAGGCTAGCAGACATTTATACAGAAGGAGAACCTGAGGACCCAGGTCAGCCACCATCCCTGTGACCACTGGGAAATCACTTCTCTCTGGGCCTTAGTGTTCTCCTATACAGAAAGAAGTAGGGAGGTTTCCATSTGGCTGGAAGACTACGATTCTTGGAATGATTTTACTTAGCCATCCTCAGGTTGTAGAGAAGGAAGCTGCAGACTGGGAAGAAGTTGCCTTGGATTTGTCAGGAATCCACTTTGTGGACTCAAGTCATTCCAACCTGACTCTCAGGCTTTCCTGACTGTAGAGAGAAACGTTGGAACTGAATTTGGGATTCTGCTAGAAGACAGGAGTTCCTTGTCTGCCAGGGGTAAGCATGCACATGTGGGGAGGGCCAACAACTGGAAGCAGTTCATCAGATCCAGCTGTGCCTTTATTTTTTTCTGTCCTCATTCCCTGCCCACAGGGGAATCCGCTCTCCTGCCACTCAACTTTCCATTACTCACCTCAGGTTAGCTTAAGCCTGGCTGGAAGTGGCTAGCAAGTCTCAGGACCTCCTGCTCCCCACTCGTCACTCCTGCAGCTATCTCCTGTGTTTTGAGTATTTTTTTTTTGAGTGTTTTGACTTTTTTGAGTGTTTTGATTTGCATACCATGTGCCCCTCCTCATCATGCAGTTTACTCACAACCTTACCTGCTTTTAAAAACAGCTCAAATTCCACTTCAGTTCAATCTTTTATTATTTATTTATTCAGTTAGTGGCTCATTATTTGCTTTGGCTTGGTTCTGAAGAGAGTCAGCTAGTTCCAGCCTCAGGGAACCCACAAGAGGAAACACTGTGTCAGAAGTGGCATAGGGACCTGAGGAAGTAGAGGCAGGGGATTGCCCAGCTTGGTTTGGGGTAATAGGCAGGCTTTGGGGGGAAGGGACAATGTTTGAGTTTAGAGTAAAGGAGGAGGAGGAAGAGTTGAAGAAGAGTCCCACAGCATGCTGCAGGCTGAAGCCCCTCGGTCTACCCCATGTCAGGCAGAAGTCCCACCTTTCTCTACTCTGGGCCAGCTCCACCATTTCCAGGGGATTATATTAATTTCTGGACCCAACAAACTGTCTACAGGGTGATAAAGAAAATGAAGTTACCCCAAACTGGTCATATAGGGAACCAGTAGCTGAATTATAGATATTTAGACTAAAATAGGAAGACTGAATTAAAGGAAACAGACTTTTGTAAAACACTGAGTTTTCAAGTACAACCAAAGCATAGAAGCTTCAGAAGGCAAGTTTTAGCTGAACTTGAGAAAGAACTCCTCTGGGGGATGGGGTTGTAGCTCAGTGGTAGAGCATTTGCCTAGCATGTGTGAGGCACTGGGTTTGATCCTCAGCATCACATATAAATAAACAAAATAAAGGTATGTGTCTATCTACAAAAAAAAAAAAAAAGAAAAAGAAAGAACTCTACTGGACTTTCAGAGGGAACCAACTTGTCTTGGCAAATCAGTCCTGGAAACCAGAAAACACATCCGCATTTGGTAGTCAAATTGAAGGAAATGAGGAGCATTGGTTAAGATGGCTCTTTCCAGTGTGGATCCATTGCACCCCATCTCCCATAATCCCTGCACACTCTCATCACCTGCTGACTGAAGGCCAAGCTCCACAGCACAGTACAGGGCCTCTGCCACTGCCCAGTCACATTCCTCTCCATGATCAGCCTCGTGTTCAAGAAGCAACACCAAGCCATTTGTTCTCTGAATGCACTTGCTGTTTCTGTGTTTAAAACACTCCCCCCTTGCCTAGAGTTTACTTATTCTCTAAATATTCTTTGGCATTGCAGTGGGCACTAGTGTCTTTTAGTCTACACCATAACTTCTGATTTGGGACATTAATTCTCCCGGTTTATCTTAATGGAAGGATACCTAGTGGCTCCTCCCTCTGCCATACAGAAGGGAGCTGGGGGAATCCAATTCTTCCCTCACCAGCCAGCAGGCAGGTGTGGGACTATATCCACCTTTTCTCAAGATAGGCCTTCTCTTGAAGACCTCTGAATTCAAACACATAAGGGGTAGATAAAGGTGTTATATCTAGGGTTGTGGGGAGAGAGGGAATGGTGTCCTGAACAGTCCATGCAGGCAATGGTTGCTATCTCTTTTTTCCTACTGTTCAGCCCTCTGGGGTGCCCTTTGTTTCTACCCATTTCCAGGTTAATTAATACATATTTATAAAACAAATGAATAAAGCAGAGGGATGCAGGTCAAATCCTTAAATTAAAACAAATTACACGTAATGTTGGACCACTTAATTATTAGACCCAAAGGTAAAGATAAGGAAATAAAGATAATAGAGGAGAATAATAAAATATAATGAGGAAGCGCTAGTTCAAGGAGGACAGGTGGTGAATAATAAATTTTTCATTATCATCCTCCCTCTAAAACTTCTTAATTTATACACCTACCAACTCCTTTCCTTTGGGAGTGATAACAGTCCTATTAGGTTGATTTAGCCTATTTGTCTCTGTTTATGTGGGTCTCAAATCAATGACCTTGTCCTTACCTATAAAGAATGTTAAAGAACTTGTCGATTTGCATGTATCCAGTGCAGGAGAAATCAAAGATGACCTAGAGGTTTCAAATCAGGAAGATGAAAAGCTCCTAAGGGACATTAGGAAAAAAACCATTGAGCCTGAGATTTCAGCAGGATGTATATTGTGGGTAAAGATGACCCAGTGGCAGCAAGAGGCCTCTGAACAGGTGGTGCTGCTCCTGAGCATTTYGTACCACGTGCAACTCTGCACATGCAGAATGAAGGACTTTTTGTCTGCAAGAGAAAACATGAGATGGGTTCATCCATTCAAAAAAATATTTACTGAGCACCTCCTGGGTGCCAGGCAGTGGTCTAGTAAAAAAACTACTCTCAGGAAGACAGATGATAACTACTACTTAAATTCATTTGTTCCCTTGTTTATATGCTATAAAGAATAATAATTAACGAAGGGGTTAAAATAGACTCAAAATGGTTCTCAAGAGTCTTCAGTTAAGGTGGTGATAGAAGCACCTTGTGGAATACTACTGTCACTCCTCTTTCCTTTTGAGCTCGATCAGGGGTGAGACAGACAGTGGAGATCAGAACCATAGACGTAACCATCCCTGGAGACTCATTCTCCACCACTATTGCATCCCACATCTATAGTTGCTACCTTGATGGATTTCCAAACCTTTAATTTTACTATGTTATTATGGAAGCTAATGCTAACATGAGGAAACAAACTAGGTCTGCTGAGGGAGAAAAAAAAAAAAAGAAAACTGTAAGGACTCTAGCATTAGCTTTTACTTCTAGGACATCAGATGAGTCAATCAGGAAATATTTACTGAGTGCTCACAGCCAGAATATTTAGACTCAATAGTAGATACCAGTGTATGTCATGCATAAATTTCAAGAACATTTTCAGTTTGAGTAGAACATTTTCAGTTTGTGAACTGCACAGTATCTAAGATAATAAAAATTACATAGAAACTCATGCTTATGAAGAGACCTGTTTATTACTGATAACACTTTATTTGGCTAAAACCACAAGAAATCCATACACAAATACAGAAAGTGCAAATTCTCATAGGCAGTATTTATAATACACCCTGGTATTTTGTTGGGGAAAATGAGATGTTGACAGAAATTGTTAAAATAAGGGCACAATTTTGAACTACTTCTACATACTTAGTCAGAAAAATAATTCATTCTTAACTGTACATATTTTACCTGGTATTTTCAATGATGTATACCACGAGTTTATTCTAACCTATAACAAGACCTCACCATACATAGATGCAGATTCTTGCCTGAGTGGCACATGATGAATCATAACGCTGGACAAATATATACCAAATAGTACCAAATTAGTCGTGACACATTTGGAAGGTAGTACTAATAGGCTCAAAATGGTGCTTTATTAGACTAGTGATATTAAGCCTACAGAGATACATTCTGAGCCTTCCTGGTCAACACCTTGCTTTTGATGTAAAGTGCTAACATTATATACAATTTCCACATAGAAAAATGCTCTGCTCTCTCAAAAGAAGCTGAGTATTTAAGGGTGTGCATTCTTAGTAAATATCACTTATTATAAATTTCAGTAATGAGAGTCATTAAAAACTGAATTAGAAAGTCAAAATTTTAATTACTTTTTAAAACTATTCATGTCTTTAAAATAATATTGTTTAGTTACTGAACTTAGGTAGGTAGTGTGGATAGGAAAAGTGAGCTGACAGGTGGGTGCTCCTTCTTCATCAAGGAATGCCAAGGAATTGAAGAGAACAAACAGGCCAACACCTCAGACTATCTTGTAAGGTTCAAATATAACATAAATGTTGCAGGTTAGTTAACTAGGGGTTAATATTTTAGGAGGTCAGCTTCTAAAGGGAAGGGAATATCCTAGATATGTTTTATGCTTATGTTTCTCACACTAGAGTCAATTGTGTACTGGGATATGCAGCAATTGGGCGTGGGGGCAATGAGGGAGAAAATTGAGAGGCCATGTGATAAACACGGTGCTCCTTTCTGGTATACCAGTTTCATTCAAGATTGAAGATTTCACTTTTATATTAAATAGTTTTATTAGGAGAAGGCAAAATTAAAGCCAGAACACGAAATTTCATCATCAGTGGTAGGCTGCTTCCGATTTTGCTCTCAGGCCTCCTTCCCCTTCCTTCATGCTCCTCTGATTTAGGGTTCTGCTGGTGAAAAAAAACTGAGAAGCAAACTCTAGATGTCCCTTTGCCCCATATATTGGCCACTTTATTCATTCTTGTAGGTTCTCTTCTTTAAGTACAAAGTCTTGACTTAACCAAGAGGAAAGATATCTTAGTGAATGTAATAGTATGTGAATATTTAAAAATAACCAATAATCAACATTAACTATGTTTCCAAATGGAACTAAAGTCATGCTTTGTAGAGTCAAACAATGAACCAGCCTCTTCTTTTTATTTAGACTTATGATTAATGGTAAAATGCTTTGAGAGACAAATATAAGAAAGATTTCCTCAAATTGTGCACTTTGGCTGCCCAAAATACAAGGAAATCTCAAATGAAATTCTAGAATAAGTGACCATTTTCGTTAGAATGACTACTTCCTCATCAGTTTCTAGAGTAAGCTCAGAAAACAAGTGAATTGTAAAAAGCTATAATAAATTAACATATAGTAGTATCCAGACAGACTAAAACAGGCTATGAAATAGATTTAAAATTACTTCTTATAAGAAATCTTAAATATTTTTATAATAGTAACAAAATTTTAAAAGTTCATAAACAGTTTATGAATAAGTTTAAAGCACTCTGAATGAAAACAGTTAAATTTCTTATCAGTGAGGTAATAGGGCGAAAGCTTTTCACAGTAACAAAATGTAGACGAGTGTGTGTGGCAAAAGAGGGAGGTAGAGAGAAAAAGGCATAAAATTAAATGTATCCAAGAGAAATTTGGATTTTTCAAGCATTACAAACACCAGTGGAATACAACTTTAAAAACCACAACAATATCAGCAGTTCATAGAACAATTTTCCCATCATCCTCCAGCTAACATTCTGTTGCATCAATTTCAGAAGCATCCTGCTTAAGAAATGGAAGATCTATTCTCCTAAATGTTCAATCTCTCAGATCCTCTCTGTGGAAGTTTGTACATCTAAATATCAATATTTTATATTTAAAGCAAAAACCTCAAATATCCTATAACACTATACATTCTTCAACATGAACACACTTGTGTTCAAGTCTCAATTGATTTGCGAGGTCAAATTAAAAATAACATCCAAGCAGGTCTTTATTCAATGCATTCACGCATATCCTATTTAAAACACACAAAAAATGTCTTTTGAGCTAAAGCTGTCTAGATGTGGAGTGAAACCCAAATGATACTGTTAGTGTTCTTTACAACATCATTTTTGTTCCAACCTGAATTTGAAAAAAAATGTGCTGGAAAGAAGGAACCTTCAAAAGTCATTTAGTATCCCTTAATATTTTTTAAAAACTATTTCCTTAAAAGAATAGATTTTTATGACAATCTCTGCCAAAGTTCTTAAACATTTTCTGCTGCCTATTTTTTTTTTTAATCCCAAATTCCCTCTGGTCTATCCTCACTAGAGATGGAAAATGGTATAGCAATAGTACTTCTTATTTTGAGTCCTTCAACAAAAACATTGATTAATGATTAATAACTTAGTGTAAATGATCTCAATGGCTTTCTTTTCTCTAGAATTAAATGAACCTAAATTCTTGAACTTTTTCTTAAAAGTCTTATTTGTATAAAAATTAAATGTATCCAGGCAGAATTTGAATTTTTTCTGTAGTTTACTCTTTTTTATTTTTGCTCTGTCTCCTCCCAAGTTCTCCCATGATTCTGATACAATACCTAGCAGGAACTGATTCCATAATAGGGATACTTTTTCCCAGCTCCCAAAACTTGAATAATAAAAGTAAACAATAGGTTCACTGCCTGCTCATCATAACAACAAATAAACACAAGTAAACAACCTTATACACACTTTATTTTCTACCTTTATGGTGTTAGGTTTGTCTTTCATAAGAAGCATTTTATGTGCTGTCTTATTGCCCTTTATATTGTTTAATTTTTATTTCTAATTTATGCTTTGATCTTGTCCTACTTCTTTTCTTTTCCCCAAAGCTTCAGAAAATACCAGTTTTGATTTATGCGCAGAATGAGATTATACGTATTTCCACGATATTTAAAAAAAAATGGCCCAAGGCTGAGACCCCAGGCCTGCATTTCTGTCTCTTGGGAGGTCTCTGAACGTATCCTGTTAGGCAAGGTGAACAATGTCACATTCATGTTAATATCATGCTCAGACAGACTCAAGAGTGTGGACAGAATCAGATAGTTCCTTAGATCTATATAATTCAGGAACCTTTATAAAATTTTGTTAATTTTAACTTTAGATTTAGAATTTTGAGATGAGAATCCAAGCTTCAATGACTTTTCACCTTAAGATGACTTACATGTTACTTTATATTAAAGCAAGAAAATGAAACTATTTTCTTCATAAAAGGACAATCATGACATGGCTTTAGTGGTTCTGAATGGGTTGGTGTATCACTTTAAATTCATTTCAAATATTTTATGACAATCTCTGAAACACAGATACCAAAACCAAATATACATGTTTTTCATATATATATATATAAAACATTGTTCATACTTTGTAGAATATATGCCATTTCCTAAGTTACAGTCTACATTACTAAAAGCCAATAAAACAAAAAATGTTTTAAACATTTTTAAATAAAAATTCTACACAAACTCATTCATAAAATGGTGCTCTACATATAGTTACCTGTCTATTACCTAGAGTCATACAAGATCCAACTATAAGAAAGCAAGGAAGGAACAAATTAACAATAGTGGCAATACAATAATTTAAAAGTTATGTTTGGATTATATCAGTTCAAAAGTTAGTTTATAGCTGTAACAAACCAAACCATGACATTCTAATCAGTTCAAACTTTATATCTTTGTCATTATTATGTTTAGGAAATAATTTCTCTAATATCAGTGCTATCTCCCATAGTCAACCTGTTTAGGTGATTACACCCAAGGCCTTGTTATTCTTACCTCCTAATTATGCCATTTGTATTCTGCAAACTGTACAAGAGAAAATACATCTTAAGAATATTAAACTATTTCTGCACTGAATCTTTTCAGAAGATTGTAGAATCAACCAAAAATGACTTTCCTAAACAACTGTTTTCCATATTAAAAAAGATAAATTCCCTAGAAGTCAGCATGATGTTAGTTTTAAACAGTAATTTTAGGGTTTCATTAATACTTAAAATCTGGGTGCTTTATTTTTTTAGTAAAATTAACATTATTTCATCAGCTAAAGAATAAATTTACTTACAAATAGGTGATTCAAATGTTGGACTGTCAAACTGAGAGCTCATTTATAGTTCCCCTTTTTTTCCTTTACCTAAAGATTAAGATAACTTATGTAATTCTAACTTGAAAACTCTTGACTATAGTTATATTAAGCCTTCTTTTATTAAGACCTTCTCTGATAGGGCTGGGAGTATAGCTAAGTTGGCAGATTGTTTGCCTTGCATGCACAAGACCCTGGGTTCTATCCCCAGCACCTCCCCAACCACCAACACCGAAAAAAAAAAAAAAAGACCGTCTTTGACAATCATAGGATTTTTGAAATCAACAAACCCATTTGATATAGAGGAAGCACCCATAAAGTTTGGAAGATTTTTTTCTTAACTATCTGAAAATTGACTGATAAAATGATATTCAATGCAGGAACATTGTTTGAGTTCATACCATTCTCTTGAGAAGGCACTGAGAAATTTGACAAGAACAAAGCCACTAGGAGTGTTGCCACTATTGTTCTATGTTTAGTAAACATCAAAGTTTTTAATACATACAGTAAATTTACACTGCACCAAAAGGGCACCTGAAGCAGAGGTGCAAACCCACATATCTTAATATCTGTCCTAAACTAGAAGTACTAAATACCCTATTTCAAATACTCTAATTTGTAAGTTAATACTCATGATACAACAATGACACTTTTCCATAATGCTCCAGGAAGAGTATTATTTTCTTGCCAATTTTAGTAATTAATTACCTTAGCTACCAGTGTAATTACATAACATTTATCTATTTACCCCATTTTTTAAACCATGCTATACACAGTTACAAGATACAGAACTAAGCTTAATCACACTACAATAAGAAAACTCACTTTTATATTGTTATGTTTTGCTTTAAAGTCAGCACAATATTAGTTTTAAACAGTAATGATATATCACTATAATATTTTAATGTTATGATTTTCATTCAAGATTATGAAAAACTTGAATTTCATTTCCCTCCAGACATTTTACTTTCAAATTGATACTTTTCATTTAGTCAGCTGAACAAATGAAAAAGAAAAGAAGAAAAAAAAAGAAAAAAGATACTTGGCCAGATGAGAAAGAGAAGGCTGACACGAGGTTCAACACATGGAGTCTTGGGTTGTCTGTTCCATATGCCAGTGCAAAGTCATGACATGCCGAGGTGCCCTACACAGAACGCCAGATCAGTCCGTTCTTACTAGGCTCAAGAAAATTCTCTATTAGAGCTTCAATGAGTTTCTTCAATTCTTCTTCTAGCAACGCAGTATCACTAAGAAAAAAAGATTGAGTTTTGAAATTCTCTATTTAATAGATTTAAAGTTTGTTTTAATTATTTTTACTTTGGAGAGGGCATATATCTGATGTAATGATTAAATAATTGATAAACAAAAGAGAAATTTGCTCAGTTAAAACTACCCCCTCAAATAAAATAACACACAAAGAAAACAACATGATCATAAACTGAAATTGAACTTCATTAATAGTAATTCCTTGGCACATGATAAAGAATGAATTACAGTATATCTAAATGATTCTCTTGGGTCAGGCAATTTAACAACTTTAAACATCAATACAAGTATTATAATAGAATGGCTTCCTGAAATGCTTTGAAGGAGACTCAGCTAAGGTGTTGTGGGATAATATGACTATCCTTCAGGTTGTTGGTAGCAGAAGAATGAGGTGTTTTAAAAAACAGATACACAAACTTACAAGTAAGCCCTTCAAAATTGTCACTGAGGAGCCTCTTTCAAACAGCCTTCACAGTCATCTTATCAGCTATACAATAAATTAGCTATTACTTTGATATCCATTCTTTGTTTTTAACCAAACATAGCATTACCTGATTTGGTTAACGTTAAATACTTCTCTGAATGACTTTAGGAGGTCTTTTTCTCCCCCAATGGAAATAAAATCTTAAGGCAAAGATGTAGGAAAATACAAAATAATGTGCCCTGGTTGGGTTCTGAAGGCTATTTCAAAAAATACATTGGTCATTAACAACAAAGTTAATACTATTTTCAATAAGTTTAAATAGTCTTTGGTTTATTAAACATGTTAACAATTTGTGACATAGTCATAATTTGTACCCTTAGAAAGAAATGAACTAGGCAGATTGTGTCAAACCAAATTGGACACAGAAAACAAATATTTGGCAACAAACACATTATTTATTGATCATTTCTTTAGGCTCATTATATAAAAATTAAAGCTTAGAAAATCTTCTCAAGAATAGAAATTTACTATGACTTTGAAATTCAGCTCTGCAAAATACAGCTTCTTTGGGAAACAGTTCCTCAAAAGGTTAAACATAGAGTAATATGACCCAACAATTTTAATCCTACATATATATCCAAGAGAAATGAAAACATATATCCACACACAAATAGCTGTTCACAACTGTTCATAACCGTACTGTTCATAATAAGCAAAAATGTAAATAATTTGAACATCCACTGATGAATGGATTAAAAATGTGGTATATCCACAGAATGGATTATTTGGGGTGAAAATAATACATTTTTTTWAAAAAGTGAATAAAGTACTAACTCATATTATTAACACTGATAAACCTGGAAAAACATGCTAAGATGCCAGTCACAAAGGACCACATGTTGTATGATTTCATTCATATGAAATGTCTAGAATATGCAGATCTACTGGGAAAGACAGTAGACTAGTGGCTGCTTAGGGCTGTGAGGGAGGGAAATGGGGATTGATTTCTACTGAATATGGGGCTTCTTTTTGGGGTGATTCTAAAATTGATAGTAGTGATAGCCACACAAACTCTGCATATGTTAAAATACAATGAATCATACATTTTAAGTGGATGATCTTATGGAATGTGAATTATATCTCAAAAAAGCTTTTAAATATGTATATAATAAATCAATTCTCACCTCTGGTCAGGTGAAGCACACATCTCTGCATAATACTTTATTTTTGGTTCTGTCCCGCTTGTCCGAAGAGTAGCAACACATCCATTTTGAAAAGTAAAAGTAATCATTTGACTGTTTTTACTCACAGGCAGCACCTATGCAAGATTGCAACAACAGCTTAATTACATCTGGTATCTAATTCATTTTTCAAGAATTATAAAATACATTCCAGTTATATGAGGCATCTAAACTAGTCTTATTCATAGAAACAGAAAGTAGAATGTTGGTTGTGAGGGGCTGGGGGAATAAAGACTGGGAGTTGTTTAATGGGTTTCAGTTTAGCAAGATAAAAAGGTTCTAGAGATCTGTGGCACAACAATATGAATATATTTAAGATAATTTAACTGTACCCTTAACTATAGTTAAGGCAGTAAATCTTTTGTGTTTTTTAAAAAATATTTTTTAGTTGTCAATGGACCTTTATTTTATTTATTTATATGCAGTGTTAAGAATCAAAGCCAGTGCCTCACATGTTAGGCATGCGCTCTACCACTGAGCTACATCCCCAGCCCCAATCTTCTATGTTTTTAAACCACAATTATAAAACTTTTAAAATTAAAAGAATGAAAATACAAAAGATTACCATAATAATTCATAAACATATTAACTGAACCCTTATAATAATCCAGGCATTGGTTTATATACTTTACATACATGATCTCCAGGCTTCAACAATAATCCTGTAAAGTCAGTATAATTGCCATTTTATGGACAAGGCTCAATGAGAGTAAACAATCTGCTCAACTAGCTAAGTGGTAGAACAAAAAGTGGAAGCTGTATCTGTTCCAAAGCACCTCTGCATTTGCAAAGCATGATGACAGTTAATCTATGGCCTCCAAAGATAAATATACATTATCCTAGAGGATATGCAAAAGAATGTACTAGGTACTTACAAAAACTGTATTTTTAAAAAAGAAATGAAGTTTTACTGACATTGAATATATGAATTAATGCTGGTACTCTTTCTCATTCACACATTAACCTGTTGAAGTACCTAGAGGGGACTGTGCTGTTGTCCTACAACAGAGGGGTTGCCAATGCTACTTCTCCTCAGGGCTCCAAGCGCTGGCCCTGGCCTAAAGAACCGTCTCTCCATCAATGCATTATGCTATGCCAGATGCTTGAAACAGATCTTTTGCTCCTCTTTTTCACTCAAGTCCTGTTTATAATATCCTTCATTCAATTCACCTTTTCAATTCTCTCCATTACCATTGTTACTATATTAAATTCTGGCCACTAACATCACTCACTTAGACTGCTGAAACAGCTTAGTAACTGATCTGTCTGCCTGGAATTCTGCCCTGGTAACCCACTCACCAGGCCACTCTTGCTCTCAGCCTACACTCCAGTTACAGATAACTACTTGTGGTTTTCTGGAGGACATGCCTTCTTGCTGTCAGACCTTGCACTTACTGCTTCCTTTGTTTGAAACAGGCTCTACACCTCCTGTATCTGGGTAACACCTAATTATATTTGAGAACTCAGTATAGTCTCAGTAAGAGGTCTTTTCTATGCTCTTCCATCCAACAGAATGCTCTCAACTTCCATCCGCTGAGCTAAAGCCCCTCTATACTCATTTCTTAAGTGCAAGCATGCCTTTGCTATCACTGTATCTCTAGTGTACCTTTGGCTGCAGCACAGAATGATTTTGATAAATGAATGTACAGATGAATGTCAATTTGAAATGTGAAGAGAGAATTTAGGACACTTACCAAGAATCTTGGGGATAACAACATCTATGCTACCTATCCTACAAAGCTCTGAGCGTCAGAGAGAAGAGATGAAGTACCTTAAATAGTTTAAATAAATTTAAACTTTAAAGACAGGCAAGAGGAAAAAACCATCATAGCAAAGACTAAGCATAAAAACATTAGAGAAATAAAAAGAAGTCAAAGATTTTATTCAGTTAATTTACAATGACAGAAATACACATGAGCTGGGGTTGTGGCTCAGTGGTAGAGCACTTGCCAAGCATGTGTGAGGCACTGGGTTTGATTCTCAGCATTGCATATAAATAAATAAAATAAAGTCCATTGACAGCTAAAAAATATATAAAAAAGAGAAATACACACACACACACAGACACACACATGCCTGTGCACATACTCAGAATATTGACAACTAGRAACCAATATTTGTTGACTGGATGAATCTGCAAAAAATGGAATATGGATAGTATTCTTTTCCCACAGTTTTTATTGGCTTATTATAACTATACATAATAGTGGGATTCATTGTTACATATCCATACATGTGCACAATATAACGATATAATTTTGTAAATATACTTCTTAAGTATTTTACTTTCCCCTCCTCTCTTCCTTCTCCCTAGTCCTCTTCTTCTACTCTACCTGTCTCCCTTAGATTTTCATGACTCTTTCCCAACCTTTCTTTTCCTCTTTCCTCTCCAGTTTTAATAGATGACAGAAAACATATGATTTCTGACTTTATGAGTCTGGTTTATTTAACTTAACAGAATGCTCTCAAGTTCCATCCATTTTCCTGAAAATGCTATAGTTTCATTCTTCTTTATGGATGAATAAAATTCCATTGTGTATACATACTACATTTTCTTTATACATTCATCCACTGATGAACATCTAGGCTAGTTCCATAGTTTGGCTATTCTGAATTGTGCTACTAAAAACATACTTTACCATAAGAGCAGAATAGTTTAAAAGCACCTCAAATAATAAAATCATAAATTTAAAGACAGGAAAGAGAAAAAAATCATACCAAAGACTATAGAAACATTAGAGAAATGAAAAGTCAAGATTTTATTCAGTTAATATACAAGGACAAACACACACACACACACACATACACAGAATACTATTGCTGTAGTATGCAGACTTTAGGAAAGACACTGAAGAGTAATTTAGCTGGGTTATATGGTTATTCCATTTCTAGTCTTTTGAGGAAGCTCCATAATGATTTCCATTGTTTGTAAATTATTACAATCTCACCAATAGAGTAAAAGTGTTCCTTTTCCCCTAGATCCTCTCCAGCATTTATAATTTTTTATATTCTGTCATTCTAACTGGAATGAGATGAAATCTCAGTGTAGTGTTGATCTGCGTTTTCCTAATTGCTAAAGATGTTGAACAATTTTTAATATATTTGGCAGAAACTTTTTAATCTGATGTCATCCTGTTTATTAATTCTTGGTATTATTTTTCTGAGCTTAAGAGGTTCTATTGAGGAAGTCCTTGCCTGAACCTATATGTTGGGAGTGTAGACCCCACATTTTCTTCTAGGAGTTGCAGAGTTTCTGGTCTCATTCCTAGGACTTTGATTCATTTTAAGTTGACTTTTGTGCAGGTCAAGAGGCAGGGATTTAGCCTCATTTTTCTATCTATGGAGAAACCAGTTTTCCCAGAACCATTTGTTAAATAGGCTGTCTTTTCTCCAACATGCCTTTGTCAAGGAACAGATAACTGCATCTGTGTGGATTTGTCTCGGTGTCATCTATTCTGTACCACTGGTCTATGGGTCTGTTTTTATGCCAGTACCATGCAGTTTTTGTTACAATAGCTCTGTAGATTAATTTGAAGTCAGGTATTGTGATGCCTCTAGCATTGCATTTGTTTTGCTTAGATTTGCTTTAGATGTTCTGGGTCTTTTTTTAAAAAAATTATTTAGTTGTAGATGGATACAATATCTTTATTTATTCATTTTTATGTGGTGCTGAGGATTGAACCCAGTGCATCACACATGCAAGGTGCTCTACCACTGAGCTACCACCCCAGCCCTGGATCTTTTATTGTTCTAAAATGGATTTTAGGACTAGTTCTGTGAAGAATGTCATTGGTATTTTGATGGGAATTGCATTAAATCGTATATTGCTTTTGGTATATGCGCTCATTTTTAACAATATTAATTCTGCCTATCTATAAGGAATATGAGTATTATCCTATGTAAGAAGCTGCAAATTTCCCAAAATACATTATGTCCCCAGAATCTTCTGACAACATTAGAGCATTACAAATGGAAATTTAAGCTAATAATCATCCTAAAAATAACAACAACAAAATGAATATGATCAGCAATCTCTTGTATGTAAGTATTTGTTTGAGCACCTATCCCACAGGCAGGAGCTTTGAAAGGCATAAAGGTCCTTCAGAAATGGACCTGCCATGCACAACACAATGGTAACATAAATAGAAAAAAAAATGACACACATCATGTGGAGGAAGGTATATGATTGTGGGACCTGGAGGTCATATTTTCCTTAAATCTTAAATAATGGCAAGGTATGAACCTGTAGCAGAGGAAGAAAAGGTAAACTAAGGAATCAAACTTGATCAAAAATACAGAAATTATAGAAAAAAAGATAAAAATATAATTTAACAAAGAAAAAAGAAATACATAAATTGTATATATTTGAAATTATAACTTATTCTATTTGGCTAGAGATACCAGAAGTAAAGTTAAAAAGAGAACTTGAAACTAGAAAGATAGTCCGACATGGTGGGGTACACTTTTAATCCTAGTAACTCAGGAGGCTGAGACAGGAGGATCATGAGTTCAAAGCAATTTAGCAAGGCCCTAAGCAACTTAGACTAAAAAGGGCTGGCAATGTGGTTCAGTGGTCAAAGGGTCCTTGATTAACATCACCTGTACTCCCCCCACCCAAAKTAGAAATACTTTTTTCTTTTTTCAAAGAAAAAGAAAAAAAAAAGTAGAACAAAAGTAGTACAAACACTTTGCAATTCTTGGATTTTAGAAAGACTTTATTTTCAACACTGTTTTAGTGTCATTGTACATTCTCTTTTTCTCTCTCTGTCTCTACCTTCCTCTTTCTACCCTCATACTCTTTTCCCTAAGGTATTCCAGATGATTACCTGGGGACTGATGAGGGATCTTTGGTCACTTAAAACTACTCTAGGGATGGGTCCTATTCCCAAGAACTCACAGGCCTGAACTTCTACTATTTTTAGTATAGTATGAATTATATATATATTTTTAATAATTTGTAATAATTTAAAACAGGTATTTTCAGGAGTTTCCAGGCTGGTGAGCACATGGACCTTCTGGGAGGGTGATATACCTAAAAAGGTCATGAGATCCTACTCCATATTCACCTTGCCCTATGCATCTCTTCTGTCTTGGTGTTCCTAAACTGTTTCCTTTATAATAAATTAGGAAACATGAGGAAACAGGATTGAGCCTCATGTAAAACCCATCTCTGGACTTTTTGGTGACATGAGCATTAAGTTTTTGTCAATGTTATAAATAAAAATAAGTACTTACTGATTTTTTATTAGGCTGGCTGCTGTCATATCCAGTGGTAACATCCCGTATGTGCAATATAGCAAATGTTCCACAAAATTTTGGATATTCTTT